AAAAAATAAAAATCTGTTAAAAATATTTTAAACTTTGTATTTATTAAATATTATGCATTCATTTTTAAAACAAGAACAGGATAACCAAAAAAAAAAACCTAACACAAATAAAGTGCAGCTTTTATTAAAAAAAATAAATTAAAAATAATAAAACTAAGAGTAAAACGTATATTTAAGATTTTTTATGATAAATAAATTGTGTTTTTCGCATTAATTTATAAAATAATAATAATATTTTACAAGTATATTACAAATTCAAAGTGCTTTAATTTAATTATACGAGTAGGATTACTATGAAGTTTTTTTTAATCGATTTTAGCTGGAATCTATATATCGGCTATTATATTAATAAACAAGAACAATTCTTTGTTTAAATGAAATGAAAATTCTATTATATAATTTTTTTTTTATTAATTATTGCAAAACAGCCTATTGGGTTTACAATTAAAAATGAAACGTGAAGTTATTCAATTCATTGAACACCTGCTTTATACAGCGCAAACGATCAATGATTATACTCGTATATTGAATAAGTTAACTCGAGTTTTCGCTTAAACGTTACTCTTACATCCCAGATAGCTGTCCGCTAATCTATTTTATTAAGTAAAATGATATCAGTCTCATTAATGCCATAGTTCTATTCCAGTGAAGATTTAATTTTTAAGACCTGTTAATATCTTTCATAGGAACAATGCTCTAGTTAACTAGTTGTAACACTACGATTAACTTTCACGGCTTCAAGAAAAGATGTGTGAGCATCAAAGATATACTAACAACAAATTATACGATGTTCTTTATTTCACACTATAGGTCTGGATGATGGCTTGCATGACAGCTATAGTAGATATCACAGTTTGCTCTTGTAGAGGAGCCTTATACTATTCATCGCATAAATGGCGGTAATATTAGCCTTACATTTATTGAAGACAGAGATATCGGACATTCCAGGTTAATATCTGAAAATTATGATCACTTGTTTGTTCACGTGGTTCGTCATGTCTCTGGCTTTGTCACTTCCTTCATTGTCGTCTGATTTTGCGTGATGTGTGCCACACCCTTATGCATAACCCAAACTTAGGGTGCTGTAGATAAGAATCGTTGTACTATTATTCCATTGTCCAGCGGGTGGCAGGTAAGTACCCAGGGATGCCACGTAGAGACTGTGCGACAACTTAGATTGAGGATGACAAGGATTTCAATGGCATTGTCTAAGTTAAATGCAAACAATGGGCACGCGCACCAAACCCAATACATAATAGATATATAAAATATATGTTAAATGTAATTAAATTATAAACTATTAATATACTAGTAATAAATTGGTGAAATAGTAAAATATCAAAACCCAATTTCATTATTTTTGGTAGTGATTATAGTCATATCTTAGTTAGTGATTGATTAAATTTAACTGCAGACAAAATGCATTGATATGCATTTTAGGACCACTGAATAAAGGTGTGCAATTATTTACATACACATTGTGTTTTTAATGTTCGCAAGTTGCTAAAACTTGTGTATATGCTATTAACTTAGTACGAAATTGAAAATAGATAAATAGCGATATATGTTTACATTCATGTTTAACGTAATTTGAGAACAATTATATTGAGAACAAAACGATATCAGGATGGCTCCTCCAGCAAGTAAAGTTTTATTGAAGAAATGACGTAAAACTATTTAGATATTAAATTGAAGATTATGCATAATATGAATGCAGGAGAAACAGTTTTCTTCTGCAGGTTTTTGTATTATGGAATTAGCAAAACATATTGTATGTGCAAAATTTCAAAGGAACGTTTAACCTTATTGTTAGCTGGCAATGCATTTGATGATTTAAGTTAAAAGCATACCTTATTTTTGAAGAATGGTTCATACATATTCCTGTCTGGAAAATAAAACATATTAAGGGAATAATAAATTAACTAATAAAGCTCTGCTTGCTTTAGATAATGTAACGTCAAATCCAAAGTGGAGTTTTTGCCGAAAAATACCACGGCTTTACTCCAGTCGATGAATCAAGGTGTCATATCAATTAGACACCTTATGGTGCGCATTATCTACAAAAAATCTTTTCGAATGCTCATAGAAGCAACAGATAATCGAAGGTGCCGAAAAACTTCCTAGAAAAGCAATCTTTATGGCCAGAATGCGTCCTCAGAAATCCTGTGTCTGAAGTTGATACCAATATAAATGATGTTGCAAAAAAGGGCAGTAGAAGCTGGTTTTGTTGTCTACATTATAGATGACGTCAGCCAACTGTTATATCATTCGAAACTGTTGGATTAAAGAAACGACAGAGAATAGAATAATAGTTTTAACTAAAATCGCAAATTCTGAAAGCATATTTTGATAAAATTGATGGAGTACTCAATGACCATAAAATTGGGGGCTCACTTTCTAAGCATAGCTCGGACATTCCCAAAAAAGTTTATGAAGCTATGTAACCATATAAAGAAGCTCTAAAACAGCAGCAAAAAAAAAACAAGTCAAACAGCGAACATTATATTTGGTTTGAAAATAATCATAAAGATAGTAAGAATATAAATATCAGTAAATAAATATTTATCAGATATAGGAATTCAATATAAATTTTTTTGTTGTTCTTGAAGTCGATATATATAGGTTATCTGGAATTATTGGTTTCGTTTAACGGGTTTTCGTTTTCCGGTCAACTTATTTGAAACGAGTTAAGGCCATTAGGCGAGGTATAGGTGTATAATTACATCTGAACCATCAAACAAATGAAAGTTATATCCAAATATAAACTGACTGAAATATTAAATATTTTTAAATTTGCTTATGTCGTATGCCATATAGTATTTTATATGAATCGTAACAATAATCGGTATCCGGTATTGTCCTCTTTCAACTTTCTATCGATCTCGATTGCTGATCGACGTCATTAATTTGAACACCTCTTTGCTACAAAAGTTCGGGTCGACGTCATTCTCCCATCGCAAGCATTTTTTACCTTTCAACAGTTTAACATAAACTGTCATGTCAGTATGTTTAATTGAAAGTTATAGAACATAATTAATAATTTTACATTGCTAAGATAGCTTTTAACTATCGTACCGCCTTTACAGAAAACAGCATTAATTGCGTGCATGCAATTTAAAAAACGTGAAAATCACAAAAATAATATTTGGAAAGTTATACTGAAAATACAAGTTAGGATTAGACTGTAGGCATCAACAGAACTGTACTGTTTTGTACTGCTTTCTTGATGAGTATTGCAAATTAAAAATCCCCTAATCCCCTAAGGCAAATCATATTTGTATAGCAAACTGGAACACTGGAACACTGCTACAATTACTAACTGTATGTCATCAACATTAGCTAAGTCTTTTGGTTCACACGCACTTGAACTAGGATGGTGTAAGTAAAATAATGTAATATTTCAGTGTTCATATATTTAACATATATAACAAATATGTTTATAACATATATGTATATTGTATTGTAGTAAATGTTTGTATCATTCGAATAGGTTATGCGAATAGGATTATTTGAATGGAGAAATTCTACTATCTGTAAGTTTGTCTGTGTAATAAAATATATAAAATATTATACTATAAGCTTTATAAACATTATTTAACGTGAACCTTGTTGAGTAGGATCTCCAACAAATCCTATGCTTAAACAAATGAACACCCCACCATTGTTCACTAACGCCAAATTAAAATAATTTAAAAAAAATATTTGCATTCTTTAAAAACTTTTTTTTAAATATCAAATTGCGTAGAAAAATTATTGAAAAACGAAAAACTATTTGTTTATTTAAAAAAAAACTTATTAAAATAAGAAATTTCAAATAGTATATTTTCGTTTAATTAAAAGTGAAAAAATATTAATATGATTTATGTGAAAATTTGAAAAATATCATCACTGCACTTTATGTGATGACCTATGATGGAAAATCGTTTATATAAATATTTTTAATTATTTCAAATTCATTTTCAGCGTAAGGAAATGCGCACAAAGCAATAAAAATTTATACAGAAAAATGTATGCAAACAATTTTTATAATAGCTATTTTTAAAACTTTAAGATATAGAGAAATAAAAACAAATATGAGAAACGAAAATATTTAACGCAAAATTTTGTAAGAATTTCTATAGAAAGTTCTAGCCACCACAAAAGCGCAACATATAATAACATAATAAGCATTACGAGAACCGTACGAACAACCTACGAGTACACATGTACATGGAAAAGGAACCAAATTGGTGTGAGTGTATGCATGTATTAATAAAATTGTACAAATTTCAATTTTTACATATAGTTTGACTTCTTATGAAAGCCATAAGCAGGTGCTTTTCTATTGATCATATCGTTTGAGTGTAGGAAATTTATTATATATAAAATAGTGGGAAAATATTTTTGTTTTCAAGCGAGACAAAAGTTTTCTTACAAATGAGTGCCCATCACGAGCACATCATGAAAGCACATAGCAATAGCGTAGGTAAGAAAACTTTTAGGCGTAACGAAAAATAGTGGGACTTTTTTTTGGATTATAAATAAAATTTTCTCTTGGTGTTTTTGTTTTTTCTTTCTTGTTTTTATACAATAAATGTTTTAACAAAATTGTGTATTTATATTTGTGGAAATTCACTTTTTAAAGTATTGGTGACTTTTCTATGGGAGACAGTTTTGCACAATGCGTTTGCATATGATCTGTAGAGGGCTTTGTGGGTTAGAAAAGTTGGCCGACATCAGTGTTCTCGGGGTTTTGACAGCGTATAGTGTGTTTGGAACGCTAAGGTTAGTTCCTGCAATTAAGGATAAGTGTGAAATTTTTTTTTATGGATAAAATATGAAATCGCATTTATTCTAAAATAAAATAAAAAAAATTTGTAGTGCTTCATTTCAAAAATAAAAAATTAATAATAAAATTAATTATATGTATGATTGAATGACTTCTATATATATATATATAAATATATATATATATATATACATTTGTATATATATATGTATTTTGTATATATGTGCGTGTTGTATAAAAAAAATTGTAAAAAGTATAAAAAAATTAACAAACTAAAATGACAAAGTTTAATTCATAAAAAGTAAAAAATGTTGTCAGTAAATTTTTCAGCATATCAATTATGGTTTAATATATATATATAAAAAAATATGCACCCATATTATTAAATCAAATAAATAAAAAATATTTTATATGTATTATGCAACAATAAATCTTCAAAATACTGACCACACAATTCAAAAATTTATAATATAGAGAGAAGTCATACTCAACAAATCCTAGTAATTATTTGAAAATATAAACTGTACTTTTACCGTCTTTTATATAAACTTTCAAATATAATAATTATATATAAAAAATTCTTTAAATGGAATTTTGTAACCAAATCGCTTTTGAAACAAATACAAATGCAATTTCAATCTAAGTGAATGCGTCTAACATAAAAGCTCCTAATGATTTTTTTTGCACACAAATATATATACAATGCTAGTATAAACTCAATATCATATAAATATATGTATTTAATATATAAAAATATCTGAGACACCTGCATACAATTTATTTTTAAAACTTACCCACATAAAATAAAGTTGATCATACAAACATATACAAAGCATACTACAAAGCATTTACATATAAATATGTGTGTACTTTGTATGTATCGAAACTTTGAAAGCTTTTCGTATCACATACAAACAAATCGTTTTTATAAAAATTTATCCTTGAGATCGTCGTTGTCGAAATATTTATATATCTGAATATAAATTTTTTATCATAAAGTCCACCCACTCATTTACTAAATTTTAACATAATTAATAAAGAGTGTATATTAAGAGGCAGGTACAGATTATACGTATTATAGTATTTTATGGGTTAAATGCGTTGAAGATATCATTGGTTTGATCACCGTTAAGACAAAATAAGACAATCGGACGAGATATTCCACAATCTTATCAACTAATCCATTAGTTTATATAAATTTTTTTATCAAATATATAAATTGTACACAATATATGGAGACAAGCTCTTAGTTTATTTTTAAAACTTGCCTTATGTTGTTTCACCTTCATGTATATCTACATATTTATAAAATTAATTTAACGTCTTATTTTAATACATATTGTTTTTTACATGTTGTCTTTAGTCGGCCTTGTCTTTAGTAAGTTTAATTGTTTTAGGTTTCACGAATTTAAAACAACAAACTATTTCAAATTCAATACTATTTATACAAGTAAGATGCTAAAATAAAAATCTAAATTAAAGTATTGATTCTTGATTTTTAAAGACAACACCGCATATGTACAATTATTCAAATCTTAAAGAGTAAGGGCAAATATACTATTACTCTCTCTTTCCAGAATGTGAACTTTATTTAGAAAAGTAATAACGTATGGGGCCAAGGACGACTCACGTCTATAATAGCCACCTAAGTAATTAAGTAAATAGTAACATACGCTTGTGCTTTAGGTGTTAATTTATACATGCTGTTATTTTGATTCTAGACAATCTTAAATTGAATAGATGTTTTCTCACTTTTCAATGCCAAGCGAGCAAATCGAAAGAAATTCTAATTAAGTAGCGCTTTGTATTTTTATCCTAAATATAGGATTATTGATATACAATATTGTTTTAGATATGCTTTACTGTTCTAATAACATCCTGAATTTTTGTTTTTTAGTTTTTATATAATACTTTCTTTTTCTTTCCATATGAGACACAGAATATATCATATTCTCTGAGCCTGATACTATGCTCTCCTATAGGATAGTTTTACATTTAAAGACTTAAATTGGAAGCAAACGCTCCTCACCATATTTCAATTAAAATAAAATGTATATAATTTTTAATAACACTGATAAAAGTATTTGAGGTTCATACTTCCGATGAAGTAGTAGATTAGAAGATTAAGTAGATCAAGAAAGTAAGATAGAATGTAGTTTAGAGTATAAATCTTAAATTTCTATAGTCATGCTATTCACCAAGTAGTATTGTACTTAAAATTACATATATAACTTTAAGAAAATTGATTAGGGGCTGATAAGATTGAATAAGGATGTATACCACTGCTATTAATTCAAATCATCTTTTTTTTACTTCGGTTAAAGTTTTTTGTTTAGAAAATGAAATTTCTAAAATAGAAACCAAGATGTCATAATAATTCCATTAACATCGTCATTTGTACATCTGCATTCTTGTGAGGTAATATATATATATATATATATATATATATTTGCTACATATCGAAGCAAATGGGTATTCTTATAAAAAAAAGCTTATAAGTAGGATGTACATTCATCCTACATATAAATGAAATGCACACAATTTCAAGTAATTAAACTAAAAAGAGGTTCAATGAAATGAATTTTTAAAATTATAAAATTGAGTACCAATATGAATTAACATTTCGATCAAAAATTGACCCAGAAAGCTTTAACTTCATCTATTGTTGATTTGCTAGGAATTCGATTCAAAAACTTATACATAGTTTACACACACAATGAAAGAAGCAATTTTATTAGAACATCTAGAATTTCAAAGCCTTCGGATAGAAGTCCAAATAATGACATGTTCCACTGCTGGATTTTTATTAAAAAAAAATTTATTTTTAAATTTTAAATGGTGAAAAGCTCTAAGAATTCGTTTACACTTTTTTGAAAAATAAAAATTAACAACAACAACAAACTAAGATTGCGTGGGTATGAAAATTAATTTTGAAAAATCTATCTATAGCGCAAAAGCCATACGTTTATTGATTCACTAAATAAATTGTTTATATCAAAATACATTTCTTATAAAAAAATTATTTGATATTAGGCATTCATTCGGTTTTTAGTGTATGTATAAGTTGAACTCGTTGTTAGCAATATGTTACGATTAAACCCACAGATCTTTAGCGTGATTAAACTGTAAATAATATAGTAATATTCTTTGTTAGTTAAACTTATGTATCCTCATTCGTTGGAACTTTATAGCTTTATTATGGACATAAAATATCAAAGTAAACGTGAACTTAGTTAAAAAAATTAATTTTTTGCTGCATCTCAACCTGTAACATGAGATCTCAACATTTTTTTCTATAATGTCATGGCTGTTAAATTGATGATATTAAATATTTGCTTGGTGTTAATAATTAAAAATGCAATCACTTCAATATCGTACTCAAAGAAATTTTATTTTTTCTTAAATTCATTTTAAAAGAATTTACTGATAAATTTGTTTCGTTAAGTATTTGATTAGTAAATTATGCAAATTCATTCTATGAAAATTTTATATTATAACAATATTTTTTAGTCATTATAATTGATTCTCTTTTACATGCATAATACTATTAATTTAAGCAGTGTATATATTAAATCTAAACATATACCTACAACAAAATATTTAAGCTATACAAAATATATTAATACAAAAGTATTTAAAATGCTCTTTTCTTCAGATTTATAATTCCTAAGAACTATATAAAATAATTGAAGCAGTTCATTTAATATCTTTAAATAATTTCTGTATACAAAACAGAATCAAAAACTATTCAATACATTAGTACAATTGTATTAATAAGTACAATAATAATACAATAGTTTTAAATACTTATTGACAGAATCTACCTTGTCTGGTTGCCAGCACTTTAGACCCGTCATTGAAAAAAAAAACAGATAATTTGTTAAAAATTAACAATAAAATCACTCATCGATTAAAACCAGGTTTTTGGTAATAACTTAATAAAAAAATGAAAAACTAAATTTCTGTTCCACTTAAGGTTAGTAATAGTTTAAGAGAGTCTTGAAATTAATATATGTGTTTAATAAAAAAAAAAATAACAGCGATGTTATCAACTATATACCATTTTTCTTTTAATAAACACTGCAACTGAGATAGTGGAGATGAATTAAATGAAAAGATTTTCAAATGAAAACCACAGAATGAATTATTTCAATTCAAATTTATATTAAAAAACTAAAAACTAAGCAGATCAAATAGTGCAATATATCATAATTGGACACAATGTTGATATCAACGCATCAAGTTGTAAGGTTGTAAATGGTTTAAAACCAGTACGCTTACTAATTTGCCGTTGATAACTTCTACATTTTATTATTTTATTGTTTCATTATTTAATTATTTAATAATATAAATTATTTTGTTTTTCAGTGTTTTTCTTCATTTCTTTTTCCTTCCGTCAGTTATAAAAACAAAACACATACAACATGGATGCCATCAAGAAGAAGATGCAAGCGATGAAGCTTGAAAAGGATAACGCCATTGATAAGGCCGATACCTGTGAAAATCAAGCCAAAGACGCAAATGCTCGCGCCGATAAGCTCAATGAAGAATTACGTGATTTGGAAAAAAAATTGGTGCAGGTTGAGGTTGATTTAGTCGCCTCAAAAGAAGCTCTCGAAAAAGCTAACCAAGATTTAGAAGAGAAAGAAAAATTGTTGACTTCTACTGAATCTGAAGTAGCCACTTTAAACAGGAAGGTACAACAAATTGAAGAAGATTTAGAAAAATCTGAGGAACGCTCAACCACTGCCCAACAAAAATTGTTGGAAGCCACACAAGCTGCTGATGAGAACAACCGGTAATTGTAAAATTTTTATATTGAAATTAAACAAAAAAAAAAAAAAACAAATAATTTCTTTTTGGTTAGTATGTGCAAAGTATTGGAAAATCGTTCTCAACAAGATGAAGAGCGTATGGATCAATTGACTAATCAATTGAAAGAAGCTCGTATGTTGGCTGAAGATGCTGATACTAAATCTGATGAAGTATCACGTAAGTTGGCCTTCGTTGAAGATGAATTGGAAGTCGCTGAAGATCGTGTCAGGTCCGGTGAAGCCAAGATCATGGAACTTGAAGAAGAATTAAAGGTTTGTTGTATGTTGTGAGTAAATAAGAACTTAGGTAATCATTTACTGTACGAAACAGGTCGTCGGTAACTCACTCAAATCTTTGGAAGTTTCTGAAGAGAAGGCCAATCAACGTGTAGAAGAATTCAAACGTGAAATGAAGACCTTGTCTGTTAAATTGAAGGAAGCAGAACAACGTGCTGAACATGCTGAGAAGCAAGTTAAGCGTTTACAAAAGGAAGTCGACAGGCTAGAAGGTAAGTTTTATTTTAATTTTGTAGTATATCGAAGTTTTAGAAATGTAAAACGTTCTGCTGTGAAAAACTACAAAATAAATTTTAATTTTAAGCAAATATATGCTTGCTTCAACTAATTTAACAATTGGCTTTTTTTTTATTAATGGAAACTTTTTAGCGGAACTTACAAATAAATAATATATATGTATATATTTATACAATTGAAATAATTAAATATACATATAATTCGATAGTGGACGTTGTAATATGTATATTTTTTTAAAACTTACTAAATAACGCTTTGTAAATAAATAATTTGTACAAAAAATGAAATGCTTTTTCCAGACCGTCTCTTCCATGAA